CTTTCTTCTCTTCTGCTGAAATCTTCATCTTCCCCCTCTTTCCTTTCACAAGAAACTCGACTAAATCTGCTATTAGTTATTTCTACTGAGATCAATTTCCCTGAATGCAAATCTATATTTTCATGGTGCTGAGTTGATTTGCTTAGCTCAAGAAATGACCAAAAGTGAATTTCCTTCAACTTCCAGCTCTCTAACTCCTCATTGTACTGCTAGTTTCAATCCTTGTAACCTGAATCAAGTCTCCAAAACCAATTGGTCCTGAGAACAAAGCCACTACTACTCCTTGATGGTTTCTAAAGAGTAAAGACATCCCCTATGCCTTTGCTCTCCCCGGATTGCGAAATGAGCTGCCATCAAGGTTCAGCTTCAGCGTATTTAGCTCTGGAGGTTTCCATTCTATTCTTACACTTTCTATATGTAGATCTGACTTCATGGAAGCTTTTATTATTTGTAAATGAAGGAATGATATGTATAACAATTTGTGCCAATCACCCCGTTACCACTCCTAGACCTTTCTAGCCTTCCCATAAAAATGACAAATTCTCCTTTTATACTTCCTATGTGTCCCAAATTTAGGGTAGGGGATTCTTCTGCAGTACGGGGCTTCCAAAAAAAAAAAAGGAAAAAAAACCAGAAGCCTACTCAAGCTATAGCATAAGAATTTGTACTGTACAAAGACTCCCTTCCCACCCCATTTTTAGCTAAAGCATCTACTAGAACATTTAAACTCTTGGGGATCCACCTGAAGCTGCAATGAAGAAACTCTGAGCTGTCATATATTTCTTGCAAGAACATTTAAACTCCTGGTGATCCACCTGAACTTCTGCCTCTGAGGCATCTTGAGCAGAAACAGGGCAACTAAAAAAATGTTCCCAACTGGATTGTAGATGACTCCTCCAATTCCAGCTGCTGAAGGAAGGTCTTGTGGGGCCTTTCTTAGGCTTCTATCGAATCTTAAAACAAAAGCGCTTTCGATCCTAGGGGTGATGGAAGGGTGAGGGTCAACTGGAAAGGAAAGAAGGATTTCTAGCAAATGTCTATGTAAGTTCCCAAATCTATAAACTGAGAATGCCTTGTTAGTCAACGTCCAAGAAATATGTTGAGTTAGAATTCTGTTTCTTAAAGAGTCTTCAGAGGATGATTTCTTTTGAAAGTTCTTTTATTTCTGTCTTTCCATAGACACCACATGATTGCATGAACTCCTGTGTTAAAAAAAGTAAAAAACCTTGCCTCGATCACCCATCTTCCTACCTTTCCGTTGGGAAATGAACTCACAAACAGAATTAAGGGGAACTCAATAAAAGCTGCCTTAAAATATTAAGGGCCCGTTTGGCACGTCTTTCCGCACAGTCTTTCGGCTGTTTACAAGCTGGACAGACCGATTTTCGGTCTATTTCTGTTTGGCTCGTGGAAGATCTAGCCGCCAAAAGCCAGAGTGTCGAAAAGATGCGAAAAGCCCATTTTGGGCTGATTTAGGGAAGCTCCAAATGAAGCTTTTCGCGTCTTCTGCGTTTTATTCTCGCGTGGAAAGACACGGAAAGACGTGCGTCTGCCAAACGTGCTTCGGGCTGCTCAGATCTTCATGCAAAAGCTCAATGCGTCTTTTGACTGTCAGAGCTACCAGAAGATCTTCCCAAAAAGACGCGCCAAACGGGCCCTAGTCAAGCAGAAATTGCCACAAGCTGTGAGCTACTTTGCATTTTATTAAAAGGTGCCCAGTAGATTCCCCACTCTCAAAGCACATAATGCAAACACGGTGGGAGAGACACCACCATCCAAGTCTTTTCTTCTTTAAGATATCACAAGTGTTAAAAGAAGCTGCGTCTCAAATGAAGAAGGAAATTCTTTGAGGAACCATAGAGATCCATATCCTTCTAATGCATCTGCTAAGCAGTTGGCTGACCTTGGGACTCATCTATGTTTTCTATGTTTGGAACAGAAAATGAGTCAATAGGTGTGGGGGTTTGGTACAAAACTATCAGCGAGGATTGTTGATTGGAGTAGGGGAACTAGGAAGGAAGAATGGAGACTCAGAAAGGGCAAGGCTGGAAGAGGACAACAGGGAAGGTAAAATGGTAACAAAAAAAGCTTATTAGTAATCATCAAAAGCAAAATTTTATTGATGGGTAGAGATGATAAAAAAGTTGATAAAAAGAAGTGTTTGGAAGCAGCAATGCCCCAACAATGGTCAGCTGGTGGTGGATGCTTACTTAAGGCTAACAAAAAAAGACTTATGCCTTGAGGTCGATGATGAAGCCAAAAAAAGCGGGCCTTTAAATGGGTGACTCTTGGGTATGTTCTACAAGAAAGACTTCTTGGTGATGGAGGTTCAAAGGTGGGCAACTAGAAAATAGAATGTACCCTTCATTGTAAGAGTGTGAAAGTTCTAAGAAGTCAAGTTTGTGATTTTCCCATTGAAGGGGAGGCTGACTGCATCCAGAAGGTGCGTGGAATCTAGATTCTGATTATTTTTGTTTAGAACCATGGAGATCTTGGTGAGGATGTTGTTTACAGGCACAATGCTCAGAAATTGATTGGGTCCAGATTTTTGGGCTTCCTCTACACCTATGGAGTGAAGTGGTGTGGAGGGTGGGGGATCTTTTTGTTTGTGGTGGCTAAGTGGGACCGGATAACTTGGGGTGTACTCACCCTAGAGGTTGGTTAATTTACTCGCTCTCAAAACAAGGCTCTTAGGTCCACAAAAGAAAGGTAAAAATTGGGATGCCTCTTGCTTCAGATTACATTGCTTTATATAGAGAAAAATGTAGATGGAGCATTTAAGGCAAAGCTAGCTGTTAGGAAGTTCAATTACCAAAATAGTTGTTGGAAGCCCACTGATGAGTTTAAATGTGGTTTCATTTGTCTTCTCCTTTGAAAATGATTTTGTGTTTCTTGGGGCATAATAATAAGTTGCATCACATATCCATTGGTGCAAAAATATGGAAGTGCAAATTCTAACATTTTTGTTTCGACTGTCACTTGTTTGTTTGTTTGTAATGTAGATGAAGCGAACTAAAACCTGAAGCCAAGTAAAGTAAAACCCAAAGCAAAATTAAGCCACAAATTGCACTCTTTTCATTTGCATTCCCATGCATTTGTCTAGTGCAAATGAAATTGCACTGCAAACAAATGGAGCCCGGAGGAATGTCTTACAATGCTCTTTTTATTTACAGGAACTTGTTTTCTTTTCGATAAATTATTTTACGATAATAAGTTAATTCCTAATAGAGCTCATATTCTTGTATATTCCCATTGTACGTTGCCTTAGTGTACATGGGCTTTAATCTCTGTAATTGTTTTTGTCATACTTTAGTGAAAACTGTTCTTACCTTCCTATTTTAATACCAAATAAATATCATAGTGGACCCAAGTCCTTGGTCTCAAATGCCTATTGAGATGTCTTTTCAACCTAACCCATCTTTTACTTAGTTAATGAGAACAAATCATGTATTAGATATAGGTGTTTATCTATTACCTTATATAAAGAGAGTTTTGACTCCCTTTTGGTCAACTCACAAATGTCTCCTTTCCACTTACAATCTATCTCATTCCCACTTCTATCATCGTTTTCTCTCTTTCTTTGTGTGTTTGTGTGCGTGCGCATGTATGCTAGCAGTTGTATGTGTCCAATCTAACCCAACCCTTGTCTTTCTCTTTTTTTCTGTATGTGCAATGCATGTGCAGTGTGGTTAATACACATCTAAAGAAAAAGAAAATCCCACTTGTAACTCTTTCAAAATAGATGCAAAAAAGTTACTTGTCTTTAGGTCATCCCCTTTATAATATCCAAGGATCAACGACTCTTTTGAAAACTATTTGTTTTTTCCCCTTAGTTTCCTGTAACAACTAAGAGCAGAAATAAGTGCTTCCCTAGTTTAGTCCTCAAAATCTTAGGAAACCGTTTAGCAGAAAGAGGAGTCATCTTTCTGCCATTACTGATAAAAAAGTTTACCTCCCCCCATTTATAATTTTGGGCTCATTTTTTTTTAGGGTGAATAGGGGATCTTTCTTTTGAGCTCATTTCTAATTATGTTCTAGCAAATTGGATATGATTGATGGGGCATGGCAACCAGAAGCAAATGTTTTGTAAGAATAACAGATTTTGTAAAACCATAGAACTAGAATCATCAAGGCAGAACAGCCCCCTGATCATAACAACTGCACTTCAAAAGCTGGAAAGGCTATATGGTAAAACGAAGAAGCTGGGAACCACCTAGAAAACTTTGAAAGTTTGAATTTCTTTGCTCTTTTTTCAGCAAAGGATATATTTAAGAGGGTTGGGGTGGTGGCGTGAACATCTTCAAAAGGAGTGGTATACCAAAGAAATCAGCCCCCTTGGGTATGGGAGGAGTATTTTGATATATGCAAATGGGCAGATTCTATTCTAGCTTTATTTGCAGGTATTATTGGAAGTGGGTATTCAACAGGAGTAGTGCAAAAAAGCTTAATGTACTATTCAAGGTTTGATGTTGGCAAAGAGAATGAATGCTGACATCATGGTCGAAGGGGACTCTAAGGTAGTGGTTAGCTGGCTAAGGAACAATAACCAGGCAATATGGTAGCATGGACATATCATAAAGGAACATGGCTGGAAAAGGAGCTTAATGTAACTTTTCAGTGGGTAAAATGATGTGCAACTACTATTTCTGATGCTTTGTCTGGGCAAAGGGGTGTATAGGGAACATTTTTTTGGGCTCAGGAAAGATTATATGCAAAGCATTATTTTCCTTGCATTGGTGCATTTGTTTTTATAGGTTGCCTGATTCCATGAACAATGCAGACTATGGTGGATGATGTTTTAGTTGGTACTAAAGGACATGCATTTCATTCTACACACTCAATCATGTGTAGATCTATAGCAGTCTCTGTTGCTTTTGCAATCGATCTAGTTCATTGATTGTGGTGGTCATGTATTGGTTACTCTTAGCCTCGCCCCTCCCCCAATTTTGTTAACATTGTTGTCCCTTGAATTTGCTTTATAATTTTGCTTCAATTTCTAGGTCGGGAGATTCAACAGCGCGTATTTGGACAATTCCAGATGGACCTTGTAGCTCTAGTATGCAAAATGGTCCCCCTAATGTGCTGGTCTTGAAACATTTTAAGGGTAGAACCAATGAGAAAAGCAAGGATGTCACCACACTTGATTGGAATGTAAGTGTACAAATTAGTTCTGTTCAATTTGATGTTTTTCATATTCGCACATGCATTAATTCTTAACCTACTTGTATCTTGGGTTTTGTTCTTGTTTAACATGTGCCACTCTTTTCTTTCCATTATGCAGGGGGAGGGGACACTCCTTGCAACTGGTTCTTATGATGGACAAGCAAGAATATGGAGTAGAGATGGTATTTGATGTTTCCTCTTTTTTCCATTTATCTTTTCTCCTTTTTTATGATCTGTGGTTGTGAAATCTTGAAACACTCAATTCCTTGTTCCGCCTGTAATCTGTATTATTCTCTAGTTGATATTGAATTTTGTAGGAGTTGCTAATATATAGGCAGATGACATTCAATAGTTGTTCTATATGATATTCAAAAGTTTTACTTCTTATTTCCTGGATTTGTTTTTCACAGGGGAATTAAAGAGTACACTAAACAAGCATAAAGGACCCATCTTCTCTCTTAAGTGGAACAAGAAAGGTGATTGTCTTCTTAGTGGAAGTGTGGACAAAACTGCCATTGTGTGGGATGTGAAGACAGGGGAATGGAAACAGCAGTTTGAATTTCACTCAGGTTTCTCAGTTTTTCCCTCTTCATCTATATATCATTTCTTTCATTTGTCTTAATTTCTGAATGAAACCAATGTATTTAATATGAATTTTGCAGCTCCAACACTTGATGTTGATTGGCGAAACAGCAACTCCTTTGCAACTTGCTCAACGGATAACATGATTTATGTTTGCAAGATTGGAGAGAACCGCCCTATTAAAACCTTTTCTGGGCATCAGGTTCTTTCTTGCTGTTGCCCCTGTTCTCGTCATACTCCCATTTGATCATCATTTGGATGTAAAAGAGTGTCAATTATGTAATCATTGCTTTTCTATACATTCTTCTTAAAGCATGTTCTATTTAATCAGAGTTGATTAATTATATCCTGCTGTCCACTCAGCTGAGTTCTTAACTGTGTCTAAATCTAAAGTGACCTGCTTAATGAGTTGCGGTTATCTAGTAGAATTGATTGTGGGTGGGTACAAGATCAAATGTTTGTAGCCAGCAAGTCATGTTGGGTTTCTGACAGTTATTACTGCCATACTGGGTTCAGAATATGAATTAAAAACTATTCTTTTCTTAGTTAAAGACAATTGGTGTCTCTTGTGCTTGTCTGGTTTAGTACTTGATAAACTGAATTGTTATCATCAGGTGGTGAAAGTCTGTAAAGGAAGTCATTAGAAGTACTTAGCATTCAACTTCTACCTTCTATCATATATGTGAAATTGTGAACAGACATTAGTAACTTGGTCTGGACCCAGATCCTGTTGGCTGAAGTGTTTGTATTTAACTATAATCCACTAGGCAATACTAATTTCTGTCATCAATTTAGCTTTGCATTCTGGATCATACAACTATAGTTGGGTCACATTGTCTTCCAATTGCAAATGGCCATCATTGCAGTTAGCAAACACAACTATGAAGAGCATGTGAACAGTGATGGTAGTTAGATATTAATCCTTTTGGTTCCTTTTCTTTTCTTATTTAGGGTGAAGTAAATGCTATCAAATGGGATCCAACTGGTTCATTGCTAGCTTCCTGCTCTGATGATTCCACTGCAAAGGTAATTGCTGTTCATTACTCAAGTATTTGACTGGTTTATTTACTTACCGTGCCATGACATAAAAGGTGACTAAAGGGTAGCCCAGTGCACGAGGTTCCTGCCACACAAATTAAACAGTTGGTAGCTTTGCCCTTTGTGATGCATTTAAAGTACATTGCGTGGACTTTGGTTTTGATTATAGGCATATTTTTCCCTTTTTTCAAGAACTGATATTCATGTTGTAGTTTTGTAGTCAAGAGTTTAGAAGAGGAACATACCACTATGTAGATCTTCACACTGCTGTGCTTTTATGAAAATTTTCTTTTGTTTTTGGTTTAATAATTTGCATTGAATCATGTTGCAGATATGGAGTATGAAGCAAGACAAGTATGTGCACGATTTGATGGAGCATGCCAAGGTTATCTTCAGCTCTTCTTCCCTGGTTGTTCTGATTTAAGATTGTTTAAGAATTATGCACGACTTTAATGAATATTGGTTAACTGCTTTCAGGAGATATATACTATTAGATGGAGTCCAACTGGGCCGGGTACAAATAATCCTAATCAGCCATTAGTGCTAGCAAGGTAAGCATTAATCCAGTTTTTGAGCAGCTGCCTGCATCTTTGTTTTTCATTTACTAGTATTCATCAGTTCGTCACATTATGTGGTGTGTTTCTTGTTTCCAAAACTCCAACTATTAATTCTTGAATTTGTGGTTTTAAAACATGCTTTCCTTTGGTGGGTTGCTATTATGTTTCATGACGTGTACAATAGTCAGGGAGATTTTTTACTGTATGCATATTAGCTTATTTTTCTTCTTTTTATTTTTATTTTTATCCTGGACTCAAAGCCATTTTAATGTGGTTTGGTATGATCCATTGAAACTCTAAACCAGCACTTGTAAGAGGGATAATCAGAGTATTTGGTGGAAGTGAAAACATGTTAATTGTTTTTGAAAGCATCTTTTCTGTTTTTTTTTTTTTGAAAAAAAGGTAAAGTAGGATTTATTGCATAAAACGATACAACATACACCCAGAGAGGGGGGGGGGACCGGCCCTGCCCCCCAACCGGGAACCCAAGTACATTAAACCTTTTGCAGGCTCTTAGACTTCAGCACCAGGAATGTTTTCCAGTTCTTGAACTCATTTACAACAGATACCTAAGACCCCAGCTTACCAACAGCAAGGCTAATTGGCTGAGCCGTATCTGCTTTTATTACTGAACAGCCTTCTGTTTCTTTCAACCCAAATGGTCCCAATCACTGCAGCAGGAATTGTCTTCCAAATAGATTTGCCTTTCACAGTATATGATTTTTTCAATAATAAATAAAAATCTGTTAGAGGAAAAGGATAGGATGCAATCTTAGGTGATAAGAAATCATCAAGACAAAAAAACTCAACAGCCACTGATAAATATCTAATTATTATTTATTTTTTTAATTCTAAAAATATAAAAAATAAAAAAAAATTAAAGAAGAAATTTCAATTGTTCTATGGATATGATAGATAAATCCATAGATCTAAAACATATTTAGTCTTTATAGGTAGAGAAAAAATTACATTTTCAAATTTTTGTTAATTTATATTTTCCCCAAATATTTTCATTAAATTTCTATAAATGTACTGATAACACAAAAAGAAATGTATATCAACATAAATTTAAACATTCAAGAAAAAAAGAAATCACAAGATATTATAAAAAATTGAAAAAGTTCACCTATTTAAAATTTTAGGGGGAGTATTGAGTTGGTCCGAGTTGTTTTTTATTTAGTTAGGAAGTTGTTGGGCTTTAGGCCCATTAGTTTATGTTTTTTTTAAGTTGTGACTGTTCAGTTATATTAGTAGCCGCCCTACTAAGGGCATCCTTGTAATATCTCATCCTTTAAGTTAAGTATAAATAAGGCGGCTAGGGTTAATTTTTTACAATCCTGGTTGACTTCATACTCTTTTCTTCTTCTCCTTTCTTCTCTACTGCTGAAATCTTCATCTTCCCCCTCTTTTCTTTCACAAGAAACTCAACTAAATCTGCAATTAGTGATTTCTACTGATATGATACGATACACCCCGTATCGGGCGTATTGTATCGAAATTTTAAACCTTGGTTGTGACATTTATTAGTATCACTATGACTGCTGTTGTCGGCATTTTAACATCCATCTGAAGTTTTTTTTTTTTTTTTTTATCGGCAAAGAAGGATTAATTTTATTAATCAGTGAAAATCTGGAGTCAAATTACAATACAGCCAACATTCCAGCAAAGCCAAAAAAACTACAATTGAGCCCAAAATAGCTGCTGCCTATGGACCCCTTGCTTAGCTAATGAATCAGCCATTCCAGTTGCAGTACTTCTGATCCATGTGAATGAAGCATTGAGTTGCCTTGCCAGACTTTCTATCTCTTTCATTGTGTGTCTATTTATCCAGGGACCATTACACCTTGTAGTTGTCCAAGAGATAAGCAGTTTTGAATCCCCTTCTACTTCCAAATTTTGAAAGTTTGCTTGCTTAGCGAGTTTTAGACCTTGTAACAGTGCTAGCAGCTCAGCCTTTTTTGAATCTCTTACCCCAAGAGGACCCAAGTACATTGCCAATACTTTCCGTGAACAATCTCTAAATACACCCCCTATGCCTGTCAGTCCCGGGTTTCCTGAAGAGCTCCCATCGAAGTTCAGCTTTATTTTATTACCATATGGGGGCTTCCAGTCCATCACTTTTTTAGCCAGCTTGCAACCTTTATCTTTATAGAATCCACAATTTCTTCTTGACTTTTTTTTTTTCATTGAAGATCGTTGAATTTCTTTCCTCCCAAACAGTCCACACCACTGCTGCCCTAATTGCTTTCCACATTACCCTTCCTCTTTTTGTCGGTTGCCTTAGGAAGTTTGAGTTGAAAAGACTCGCTATATCCTGAGGAGTAGTCCACCTACAACCAAAGAGAGAGCAAAAAGAGTCCCAAACAAAGAGCACAACAGGACAATAAAGCATTAAATGAGGTAGGGATTCACCATTTGCCAAGCAAAGAATTCACCTTTCCAAGGAAAACCTCCCAACACAATACTCCCTAGTATTATTTACAGATTGAGTCAAGAAGGCTTACTGAAGTTTGTTTACCAGCTGAATAAGGGCCTCACACTCATTATCCCTCCAACCCCTCTTGAACCCAAAATCCTAGCATAAACCTAATGAAGAAAAGGTTACGACGTGTGAGATGGAATGAAATTTATAGTCAGACATTGAATAGAGGTCAGGATACAAAAAACTGAGGGGTTTCTGCCAAGCAAAGGTCTTCACAAAAAAGTACCTTAGAACCACAACCCACATCAAATCTGGTTAGATTAATAAAGGTTGGACATGCCTTTTGTATTGCTTTCCACAGAGAGCTTGAAGTTGAGGAGCTGGCCACTTTTTTATCCCAGCCATTATTCATCAGTCCATGAATGCTTTCTATAACTTTACTTATCTCTCTTCCAAGGAAACATCTAGAACCGCTTCCCTAGCAAAGATGTATTCCTGTGGATTAAATTCCCTATTCCAAGTCCACCATTCTCAGTTTTGGAAACTTGTTCCCACTTAACTAGATGATCCCTTTTCTCATCTCCAGGTTTCCACAAAAAGTCCCTCATAAATTTCTCCAGATGTCTAGTAGGGATCGTAAAGGTGGAAAGGAAGTAAATTGGTAGGTTAGCTAAGGTTTCCCAGATTAGGGTGATTTTCCCTCCCAAGGAAAGGTAGTTTCTTTTCCATTGAGCCAATCTCTTTGTAAACCCCTCCACCACCGGCTTCCAAAACATTTCTGATCTTGGGTTCCCTCTCAATGGTAGACCTAAGTACTCCAAAGGCCACTGTTTAATCTCACACCCCAGGATTTCAGCCAACACACTTAAAGCTTCTTCCAAATAAATCCCTGCTATGCAGTTTTTTCCCCAATTCACCTTCAACCTAGAAATAGATTCAAAGGAAAGGATGAGCTTTCTCAAGTTTTTTATATCCTCTTGACTCCCTCGCAGAATATGATGATGTCATCTGTAAATTGCAAGTGAGTGATTGTCACCTCAAGCCTTCCTACCCTCCAACCTCTAAATAGGTTAACCTGATCAGCCTCTACAATCATCCGACTCAGGAATTCAGCAACTACAGTGAACTGGAATGGAGATAAAGGGTTCCCTTGTCTCAAGCCTCTTTTAGCAGGAAAGAAGTCTCTAGCCACTCCATTAATCAGAATCGAGTACTGCACTGAGCTCAAGCAACCTTTTATCCACATCCTCCACCGTGCAACCAAGTCTATTTTCTCTAACAGCTCAAGGAGAAATGACCAATCAACTAAATCATGTGCCTTCTCTAAGTCCAATTTACACAGCAGCCCCTTACCTTTTCTTTTCCTCTTTTCTGCTACACATTCGTTTGCCACTAGTATCTGATCAATTATTT